TAACAGAAAAGAATATCTGAATGGTAAATTATAAAATGAGAAGAACTCGGCCCGTTACATGATAAGATTTCTGTTGTATGGTTGAGAGGGTTAAAAAGTCCCCAGATAATCTCAACAGGTTTCCCTTGTAGCCCATACCATAGAACAATTACCATCTGTGTGCTAGTGTAATTATCCATCGTCTCATCACACAACTGTCAAATAATCTGCATTCTTTACTTCCTTGATCTTATTTATGCAGATTTCCAACATAGATTCTAAAAGTTCATTTTGCATTGATTTGGATGTTCCTTTAAAAACTGTAGCGGTCTTTAAATGAGCATCTAAACTAGAATCCAGTTCACAGGCAAAATCAACTAATCCACGAAATACTCCCGGATTCTTCGAGTTCGTAGTTTCATCATGACCTCTAAGAGGGAGTTCAAATTTTCCAAAATTTATTACACAGTTTATGATTTTGGATGACACATCTCTGTTTTTTCTCACCTGTTCATTATGTTTTGCAACTGAGAGCTTTCATGGTGTGTCAATTTGAGCTGCAATGTTCACTTTATCCGGCAACTATAAATCAATCATGTTATTTGACTGACTGCTCATGTTTCATTATTTTCTGTAGCAAATGCCTCAAGTCAGTCACGCCACTTTTCCTCCATGACGAGTCCCCACCAAACAATAAGCATAGAAAGCAGAATAAAGCATTTGCCTCGTCACAACCACAGAGCCATTCACATTTCTGATAAACACTGATGTTAAACTGGCTTGTATATTCTTGTTCCTGCTTGTACTATTCTGTTGAATGGATAAAATTGGTGTAGGTCTTCCTCTTGCTTTGATTTCAGTCTTTTCATTTAATGTCAGATGGGAAAAGTCGATTTTCCATCGTCAAAGGGTAATTAAAGAAAGCACGACTTAACTGCACCGTCCACATGCAATGTAAACAGGAGATTGAGCTGCACCGACTGCAGCTCATTGTTTCCAGATGTGGCACCAATTATTATTAAACATGAATCATACAGCAACTATGAAAGTAACTTAAATTTTGGTCTGGTTTTAATGAAAATTCACTTCGTAATGTACGTACTGAAAATAACATATAATGACTTTTTACTTTGATATATATTTGTTTCTAGGGTATTATTCGGCTGAGTGTCTCAGGGGACTGCAGCTCCTAGGCATGAGCCACCACTGAGTATAGCCTCCCAGTTCTGGCCCAGTAGGTCGTATGACTTCAGAGAAAGACGAACAGCCTTCCAAAGAGAAGCATTGTACTTTTCAACCTGCCCATTTCCCATGGGATGATGGTAAGGTGTTGTTTTGCTTGTTACCATCTCCTTGTAGGAAAGATTATCTTTGAGTTCACGTGACATAAAAGATGGACCTTGATCTGAGTGAATGAAACTTGCCATATTGCAAAGGGCTAATACTTGGTCAAGACATTTGATTGCAGTTGAAGAGTGCATGTTTGGACAAGGAAATGCAAATGGGACTGTGAATACTTATCAACTACTGTGATTATGTATGTGTTCCGTGTTGAGGAAGGGCTTGGTCCTTTAAAGTCTATACTGAATCGTTCGAAGGGCTTTATATCTGAGTGCCATTCAGTGGAAGAAAGAATTATGGCTTTAACTCTGCACATATCTTACAAGATGAGTATGTTCTTTTTACATCTAAGGCAGAAAAGAGGAGATTTCTTGATCTTCCAACTATAGCCTATGAGTAACCCCGGGATGACAAAGTCCATTATGAATATCGGCAAGAGTTGATGTTGTTGTAGTAGAACAGCAGAAAGCACGTGTGGGGGTATCAGGGGCCACATTATCCTTGCTTGGTCAGTATCGAATAGTGTAATTAAATGATGCCAATTGCATTCTCCATTCTTGTACAGGTATTCTGTTATTCTAGATTTTTTGCACTTCCTGTTATTAAGCATAAAGGCACCTGAATGCTGATCACTTGATCAGTAAGCAGAGTAAAATAATGTTGAGCTAGAAAGTGACTCCATTTATGCACTGCTTCCATGATAGCTGTGGTCTCCTTTTCAACAAGGGATAGTGCAATTCACTACCTTGCAGGGTCCTGGACATAAAGACTACCGGTCGGTCTCCTTGGTTCAGTACGGCAAAGATAGCTACTTCTGAAGCATCACATTCAACCACAAATGAGAGCCTTTCATGTATGGACTGAAGTATAGTATTTTCCAGTTGTTTCTTGATGTTGAAGGCTGATGTGGTTGTATTTTATCAGAAAAATGAGGTATCCATTTTACATAGTAAGCAAACTTTCCAAGGGCTTTGTGAAGGGAACCTAGATTTGTTGGTGGAGGGAGTTCTTGAAGAGGATTAAGTCTCTTTGTATCAGGTTTGATAGTGCCGTTCCCAACCCAGTAGCCAAGGATATTGATTGTTTTCACAGATCTTATGGACTTGGACTCATTTAAAGTTAAATTTTGATGGTTCACAGCGTCAAAGAACTTTTGGAGATTATCACTATGCTCATTTTGGTCATGACCTGCTTTGGTTATATTATCAAGATAAGGAAAGGTGTCTTTCAAGTTTTCTTCAGCAACTAGTTTGTCCATTTCTCCTTGGAATGCAGTAATACCGTTTTTACTGCAAATGAAATCTGACAAAATTGATACAGTTCTTTTTTTTTTTTTTACAGGGATTAGCCCACCCGGGCACAGGTCACTGACCCACATCGGGGCCTGGGGGGCGAATAGTATCAGGGTAATAATAATAATAATAATAATAAAGAACCACAAAGAAATACAAAAATGAAAATAAGATCACAAATGGGCATAGCATTGGGGGAATACTGGCCAGCTATGGGGCCCATAGGTGGTAGTGGAGCTTCTGACGGTCGGGGTTCACGGGGATAACCGATTCTACTGGACCTCAGACATCTCCCCAGACTAGTGGATGCGTCATCCACGCTACAGACACGGCCTAGGCTGCAATAGGGACCTGTGGGTGGAGGAGCGTGGCGCTTACTGGTTTGAAACGAACCGCCGCCTTCCACCCACGCTTAAGTCACGGATTCCACCTACTTAACCATTTCACTAAATTACGTTACTGAAACACTCTGATGTTTGAACTGAGACTACGAACTCGGTTTCATTCCCTACTATTATCTTTACAAACAATGCTCTGACTGAGCTATCAAAAGCAAGAATTAAATTGATCACAAAAGGTTGGATGACAATCCCTTCCCAACACGCAGTGCCTTGCTACAAATGCGAGGAGCAGATTTAAAGTTCCCTTCAGGAATATTAACTAATTCCTCAGTTAACCTCCCTACCACAATTTCGCTATGATTATCAGAGTCTCTGATATTCATAGGTGAAAAAGGGTTTACAGGGTCTCGGTAGCAGAAAGAGTTTACAACTTCGGTCAACACACATACGACATCTCGATGACGTCATCAAGGAAACAGAGAGAACGGAGGACATTTCCACTGGGAGACTCAGAAGGTTTTGTGGACGTGTAAGCGTAATATGAATCCTTAGGTTTCAACAGGCTAGCCGTCATTACGATCATGACAATACAGCTTGACAGAATCTTTCAGGGAGATTAATGACTTTCTTAAATAGACAACTGACATTAACTAAACTACAAACATCAGATTCTCTGAAGTTTGGGCATCAAAATAATCTAACTTCAGTAGCAATTGGAAACTCATGGCTTTCCCCAGGGACAATATCACAGGATGCCATTCGTACTGGCAGACTTGACTCTCACTTAATTGACAAGTTTTACTAACATTAAAGATAGTTGAAGCTTTCAACATTACTCACAATGGATCTTGAATGTTTCATCTATGATCAGACATATCTAATTTGCCTTAACAGATACAACTACAGTTGCAATTTCAAACTCCGTGTCGTTATACTGAGGAATAACAAGAGTCTTGGGTGCACTCTAAGATTGAGGGAAAACGGAGGACTTGGGCGTCCTGAAGCGATGAGAAAGGGGACGCCTCAAATGGGGGACTCTATAAAGAAGGCACAGCTACATGTTTTGTGGGCTATTGAGCATAATATGAATCGTCTGATTTTATGTCAACTGACGTGTACGACCATGGTCATTGCAAACTCACCTCACTTTAGCAAACCTAACTTCACCTACATCTCAGCTTGGTTTCTTTCCTTAATGAGATTTTCTCGCTAGTCTTCCTCCCGTTGATTGTTATTATTGTTGTCCTGATATCTTTCTCAATTATAAATGTTCTCCTGGATTTTAACATGGATGTTCCCCTCCTCACTTGGTACATTTTTATGAACAATATGTTGATCACCTAAAGATTAACTATTCTAGTTTATTATATATGATGATTGAACACTTTAATACTACCTTGGGGGTGTTAGGTTAAGTTAGGTGAGTGAATGAATGGTTAATCTTTAGGGGCAATAAGCTAGGGGGCTACTCTATAGGTGTTCTGAAATATGTATAAATTTGTGCACTATACCAGTACTGGAAAACTTGAAAGCAATTTCTGGTTGTATTCTTGTTTAATGTTTATTTCCTCAGCTCCATTCTCCTTACCCTATTTACCCACATTTCACCATCTCATTTTTACTTAATTTTTACAGACCCCAGGTAGTGGTGTGAGCATGTTAGCCTTTGTCTTTATTACTTATATATCCTTCACTCATCTCCCGATCCTTTTATCAAGACCTCTGTTCATCCCTACTTCATGCTCAAGAAAAGTACAGTATAGTACCTGTATTTGTAAGAAACAAATTTCTTTCTACATAAATATTAATCAGATAATCTCCTTGTGTGCTCTTACCAGCAAACCCTTAAGTGTCTGCAGTCTTGAACCTATTTTCATTTTTTACATTTATATTTGTATCACCTAACACTGATATTTATGTGTGTCTTTCTATGAATTTATTTGATCACCCGTCATCATCACTGTTATATATATATATGATTGGTCCCACATTTATTACATTCCCATCTTTTCATGAATAGGATTTAAAAAAAAAATTTCTTACACAGAATAAGGTCTACCCTTTCAACTACTCATCGTTTTTAAGTCAAATAACCTTCCATTGGGCCAACGGACTTGTATGGCTAGGGTGGAAACGATCCCTAACCCATGATGACTTGTGGAACATCCCAGCTGAGTGTGCCACTAACCTCCTGGATACTTCATGGAGAACATCTTGGAGTAAAGAGCTCTCCATTGTCAGGTGAGAGGAAGACTTAGCATTAAAAACAGTCACAGTGATCTGAAAAATGATAGATGAAATTTAATGTGGACAAATGTAAAGTAGTACTTGGTCTAGATGTAAGCAGAGAAACCAGATATCAGATGAACAACGTTGTTATAGAGAAATCCGACTGTGAGGAAGATTTAGGAGTAATGATAAGTAGAAATCTTGAAGCCAAGACATTGACGCGTATTTGCTCGAAACAAGGCTAACAAGTACTTGGGTTCATACAAAGGAGTGTTAGTTACAAGACTAGCAAGGTCATCCTAAAACTATATCTTGCGCTTGTGAGATCTCACTTGGATTACGCAATTCAGTTCTGGTCACCATACTACAGAATGGATATAGAATCCTTAGAAAGCATTCAGTGTAAGAGGATGCACCTGGGACATACCAATGGTAAGGAGGAGTATCATATGTCCCAACGGGATAAAGAAACTGCATTAATTGAAACTGAATGTGAGAAGGACCTAGGTGTGTATGTTGACAATGAGCTGAAGTTCTCGGGCCATTGCGAGAAGAAGGTAAATCAGGCAAATAAATTATTAGGTCTTATAAGAAGGTCTTCCCCTCTGGTCCCCGAGATATACTAGGGATTGTCAGTTGATTAAAAATGTCCAAAGGAGGGCCACTAGACTGGTGCCTGCACTATGGCACCTCAGCTACCCTGACAAATTGGAGCGCCTGAACTTGCCGAGCATATACTACAGACGGGCAAGGGGTGGCCTAATTGAGGTGTATAAGCATCTCAAGGAGCACTACTCAGTCGAGTGTTCTTACCTGGAACTGGTGGATGCTCGCCCCACAAGGGGTCACAGTTTAAGGTTGAAGAAGCCGCAAGTCCAGACAACTGTGATGGCGAACTTTTTCGGAGTGAGAGTTGTGAACTCTTGGAACAATCTACCAGAGAGTGCTGTGACAGCACCGAGTGTGAGCTCTTTCAAATTCAGACTTGACCAACGCTAGAGCAGGTTCAGATAAATTCTGGAGCCAGTGTATGCCCAGTACTTGCCAACAGTGCGTAACAGAGATGTGACTGATCGCCCAAGTGGCTAAAGAGCCGATCAGTTGTGAAGAGGATAAAAGTAAAAGTAAGGCATTAGAAACCATGAGTACAGAGACAGTATAAAGAATTTTAATTTACACTTCCTCGAGAGACGTAGAGTGAGGGGCGATATGATCGAGGTGTATAAATGTAAGTCGGGGCTAAACAAAGGTGATATAATAAAGGTACTCAAGCTATCCAACCAGGAGCAAACTCATAGCAATGGTTTTAAATTAGACAAATTTAAATTTAGGCGCAAGATAGGTGAGCATTGGTTTGGAAATAGAGTAGTTGATGAGTGGAGCAAGTTACCAAGCATCATCATTAATTTGAACATGCTGGGAAGCTTCAAATATAGGTTGGGCAGATATATAAGCAATAGGGGTTGGGTGTAAACAAGAATGTCCAGTATGACCCAATAGGCCCGCTGCAGTTTCCTCCATTCTTATGTTCTTATCAGAGGAAGGATTAGTGTTAGCAACAATCACTCTGAGAGGAAGACTTAGTATTAATAAAAATCACAGTTGTAACGGGCCGAGTTTCCTCTTTTCAATAATTTACCATCCAGTTATTCTTTTCAATGAGTATCCCGTTTTATATACTTATCCTTCTTCAGTTCTTTACACACATACTTACTTTATATATTCTTGCTTGTATTCTTATATGTTCTTTATCTCTATATACCTTATATTCTTATATATTCTTATATAAGTAACTCTTATGCTTCTCTGCTTATGTTCTCCAAGTCAATGTTCTTTCTTTTCATTTCCTGTCATATATTATGATCTCATCCATATATTTTGTTCTAGTTATATTCTAAACCATGGATTAACCTGGGAAACCATGTCTTTGTTATTACCACACTTATTATACTTACAACGGTAGCCTGCCACCACCCAGGATTTTCTAGAATATAGCATCTCTTAGTTAACTGTTAGGTAGCGAGCTTCTAGGCACGTGAGTTAGTTATTTTCTGAGAACCAATGTGGGAAAGGATAGAGTGGTGATACTCGTAGACGTAGATTACTAATTCAATATTTATTAACACAGTGATTGGATAAGATGCATCTTAGATTCACTCAGACAAAACAGAACTGCAATTTGTTTCTTAAGTCATCAAACACTTCAAGAACTTATTACCTCATTAAATACCTCCAAATACTTATTACTTCAATCGACAATTGTGGTATTGTCACTCTGCCAAATGATATTCAGTACTGGGTATACACCAGATATCACTGGACCCTCAGGTCTTACCTTACCAAGTAGCAAATTAACTCTTCACTTCTTGGTTATATCATTATACTCTCAGATTATCATTTCATGGTCACTACCAATGAATACATAGCACACTGGACAACTCCACAATTATCTCAACATACAATACCTCCTGTTAATTCACAAGGAACAACATGGCACTTTTAACTCTCATTCAGTGGTTCAATACTTAACCTGGGATACTATATTTCTGCTAGTTATCCCCCAAACAAGGTACCATAATACTTAGGCCTATGTAACTGTGAGGAGTGCCCCAGGGTAACGCTGGTCTCTACAACAAATGAAGATCGCTGCTAGGGGTCGGTTGTAGACCGACACACGCTCAGGGAGTGGGCGCCTGGTTTGCGGGAAACGGACTTCCCAGTTCAGTCCTGTCGAATTAACGGCATCGTCCAACCCGGTTACCGCCCCACGTTAGCTGATGAGTATTCAGCTCAACACACTGGAGAGACGTTGAGGAAGTCACGAATGCCTAAAGGTCTAACTTCAACTATACAAAACATACGCCTGGCAACGGTTCAGACAATATCTAAATCTCTACGTTACTCGACTTAATTGGCACAGAATTCACTATGTTAACACATGAGCACTGATATTCACCAAAATTGACTAAGTTAAACTGAATTAATAGGCGGCGGGAACACACGTTAACATACCTGGAGAGACGTTGAGGAAGTCACGAATGCGTGATTCTCCCTCGTGTAGAGGTATATATGTGCACCTGCTGGGCAGCTTGGGCCTCCATATTCATACCAGAAGGGTCGATCTTACCAACAACATAACTTCTCTATCATTTTGGATCACTGTAGACTTAGTTATGAACTCCGGTGTTCTTGATCAGGGTAATTTCCTATGTCTATTCATATAATCTAATCAGAGGTTGAGCTTGCCAGGAAAAGGTGGAATATACACGTCGATAACATTAATTCTGCAAGCTCAGGCCTGAGGCGAACAAGGGGCTATTCACGGGGAGGCGCTAGATCTTGGAGATTATACCAGTTGACAGAATAGTTCAGGAGATTAATGACTTTCTCAAATAGACAACTGACACTAATTAAACTATAAACATCAGATTCTCTGATGTCGGGGCGACAAAATGATATAACTTCAGGCGCGATCAGAAACTCATGGATACCCCCACGGACGACATAAAATACGCCACTCTAGCTGGCAAACTCGACACTCACTTACTTGACACGTTCTACTAACGATAAGGACAGTTGAAGCATTCTACCCCACTCACAATGGATCTTGAATGTTCCAACTGTAAACAGACATATCTAAGTTGACTCAAAACAAGGGTGTTCTCTCTCACACTCAAATTCATTTTATAGAGAGGTTGGTTTCAGTAAGTCAGAGAAAATGGGATAACGGAGGACTGAGGTGTCTTGAAGTGATGAGAAAACGGACTCCTCAGATGGAGGACTCAAACGAAAGCCGATTTACATGTTTTGTGGGCTATTAAGCGTAATATGAATCATTTGATTTTGGCGCTAACTGACGTGTAAGACCGTGGTCATTACACAGTGAGAGGAAGGCGTAGTGTTAACAACAATCAGTTAGAGGAAGGCTTAGTGTTAACAACAATCAGTGAGAGGAAGGCATAGTGTTAACAACAATCAGTGAGAGGAAGGCTTAGTGTTAACAACAATGACAGTGAGAGGAAGGCTTAGTGTTAACAACAATGACTGTGCGAGGAAGGCTTAGCATTAACAACAATGACAGTGAGAGGAAGGCTTAGCATTAACAACAATCACAGTGGGAGGAAGGCTTAGCATTAACAACAATCACAGTGAGAGGAAGGCTTAGTGTTAACAACAATCACAGATAGAGGAAGGCTTAGCATTAACAACAATCAGTGAGGAAGGCTTAGTGTTAACAACAATCAGTTAGAGGAAAACTTAGCATTAACAATAATCAGTTAGAGGAAGGCTTAGTGTAAACAACAATCAGTTAGAGGAAGGCTTAGTGTTAATAACAATCAGTTAGAGGAAAACTTAGCATTAACAACAATCAGTGAGAGGAAGGCTTAGTGTAAACAACAATCAGTTAGAGGAAGGCTTAGTGTTAATAACAATCAGTTAGAGGAAGGCTTAGCATTAACAACAATCAGTGAGAGGAAGGCTTAGTGTTAACAACAATCAGTTAGAGGAAGGCTTAGCATTAACAACAATCAGTGAGAGGAAGGCTTAGTGTTAATAACAATCAGTTAGAAGAAGGCTTAACATTAACAACAATCAGTGAGAGGAAGGCTTACGGTTAACATCAATAAGTTAGAGGAAGGCTTAACATTAACAACAATCAGTGAGAGGAAAGCTTAGCATTAACAACAATCACAGATTGAGGAAGGCTTAGCATTAACACAATCAGTTAGAAGAAGGCTGTGTTAACAAAAATCAGTGAGAGAAAGGCTTAGCATTAACAACAATCAGAGGAAGGCTTAGTGTTAACAACAATCAGTTAGAGCAAGGCTTAGCATTAACAACAATCAGTGAGAGAAAGGCTTAGTGTTAACAAAAATCACAGTTAGAGGTCGGTTTAGCATTAACAACAATCAGTGAGAGGAAGGCTTAGTGTTAACAATCAGTTAGAGGAAGGCTTAGCATTAACAACATTCAGTAAGAGGAAAGCTAGGTGTTAACAACAATCAGTTAGA